CCTATATATACACCACAATTTCTTGACTCAATTATTTGTTTTGTGGTACTCAGGAGATGACTTTAGGGATTCATTCCAAACAGCAAGGATAACAAAAGAGAACATATCCAACTGGTACTACATCAAACTAAGTCATTTAGACTTTTTTTTTTCATTTAGACTTCTTATTATTATTAGAAATGCATTTCATAAGGCTATAGTTGCCATAAATAGTGATCCCTCTGATGGTTGTGAACAAAGTTAATTAAAAACCTTCTGGGAAGAATTCACCATTCTAGAAGCCAGTAAGACATTAGTGATTCAAAGGAAGAGAGCAAAATACAAACATTAAAAGGAGTTTGGAAGAGTTGATTCTAACTCTCATGGATAACTTTGAAAGCTTTAAGACCTCAGTGGCAGAAGTAACCGCAGATGTGTTGGAAATACCAAGAAAACTAGAATTAAAAGTGAAGCCTGAAAATGTGACTGATTTGCTGTAATCTCATGATAAAACTTAAATGAGCAAGGAGTTGTTTCTTATGGGTGAGCAGAGCAAGCAATCTTGCGAATGAAAGTGCTGTGAACATTTTTTAAATGACAACTAAGGATACAGAATATTATATAAACTTAGTGAATAAAGCATCAGCAGGGTTCAAGAAGAGGAACTCCAATTTTAAAAGAAATTCTACTATCAATATGGTTAAAATGGTATCAAATAGCATCATAAGTTACAGAGAATTTTTTTGTGAAATAAAGTGTCAAAAAATCCAGCAAACTTCATGGTGCCTTACTTTTAAGAAACTGCCAGTTACCCCAGTGTTCATCAACCACTACCCTTACCAGTCAGCAGTAAATATTAAGGTAAGATTCTCCACCAGTAAAAGGATTATGACTTACTGAGGGCTCAGATTTTGGTTGATATTTTCAGCAATATAGTCATTTTTAGACATAATGCTATTGTATACTTAATAGACTATGATATAGTGTAAACACAACTTATATGCACTGGGAACAAAAAAATTTATTGACTCACTTTATTACAATATTAGCAATATTATTGCATTAGTCTGGAACCAAATCACAGTATCTTCAAGTTACACCTGTATATAATACAAACTCATTTGCATAGCTCATCATCGAAGGGATCTAGTCTGATCTACCCCAAAAATTTAACATGAGAAGTCAGAATGTTTATTTTTTCATGTTTTTGAAATATCTGAAATACCACAATAAGTACTTTCATCATAAAAAAAACTCTAACTCACATTTATAGTGAACAAGAAAAAAAGATAAATAAAATATTCCTTCAAAGGTGACTGATCTTCCAGATCTGCATTGTTCAAAAAAATAGTATGATTGTTGAGTACCTTATGTATACCTGTCCTAATGGAGATATGCTACAATCATAAAATATACACCATATTTGGAAGACTAAACAAAAAAATAAAAAATATCAATTTTTTGTATTGGTCATATGTTGAAATGGTAATTTTTGATATAGTAGAGTAAATAATATATACTCCTAAATTTAATTTCAGTTATTTCTTTTTCATTTTCTTAAACACACTATGTTCCATTCACACAGTACTGTTCTGAACAAAGAGACAATAGAAAGATAATATATCACTCTTGCATTATTCTTTACTTTAATTAATACAAACATTTCTATTTATAAAAGTGTTCTCAATTAGTTTTAGAATGTTTCTACCAAACACATAAATTCAAAAACAAATTATCACAGTTAAAAAGGAAAAAATTAAAAGGGCCACTAGATTCAAAAGAACAAAAATGCCTTGTGTTTTATTTGGAAATCATATGCTCATAAGATTGCATAATCTGGGGGAGGAAAAAGGACTTTGCTTTGCTTGGAATTTAAACAAGGCTTCTAAATGTCCTAAAATTCTGTGCAGTAAGAAATTTGTATATTAGTTCTGAGAAACCGGAAACCTTTGATTATGACCTAATTTTGCTTAGTTTCTTTTTTTTTTTTTGGCATAAAACTTTAAAATTTTTGCAGCATTACTGATTATATTTGATCAGGGTTCTATTTAAATGGGCACAAATTCAAATAAAGATTAGGTTGAGTTTAACAATTTGTACTGAAACAGTGGGCATCAAAACGTAGACACAAAATTGTTTACAAGATTACTACTTTCATTACATTTCCCAAGTTGACACTCCCCCATAGCTTATAATTAAACAAATTATAAACTTGAATGATACTGAATAACATGTCAAGAACAAAATTATTCAGATATTTCTATTCAGAATAAACCATATACCAATATAGCATAGAAACCAAGGCTATATGACCATTGCCTCTAATCTATCTGTTACTCTTACATGTGAGAATTTATAGTAAAGTATCCAAGAAAGCTTAATATTCTAATACAGAAGACAAAAAGAAAGGAAATTCCCACTCACAGCCTCTCTTTGGTATTAGTGTCCAGTTCCTTTCATGCAGTGGAATGTGTTATTTTTCAAATTCCCTCTCCTGTACCAAAAAGGGATGAACATCTACTATATGCAAATCATATGCTTGGAAAATTCCCATGTTATGGTTTCATCATACTTTTATTCATTCAATAAATGTATATTGTTTCTCTACCATGTAAGAGACTGTATGAAAGTTTGGTAAGGAATTTAATTAAAAACAGATATAGATCTTGCTAATAAACAGCTTATATACCACAGTAAAGAGAAGCTGACCCACCCCAATGTCCCCCAAACTAGAAGGTAGTTGAAAAATCAGGGTCAATAGTTTAAAGTCAGAAAAGTAGACAGTTAAGAGAAGTTTCGAAACATGCCCTTCATGATCAATGATCACACCAACTTTTCTCTTTAAAAAAAAAGGGGGAGAAAATTCCAATCTTTTCTCTGGTTCAACACACATCTTCATATTTCCACAAAATGTAGTAGTGGTAACGGTAAGATGAAACTAAAAAAATAGGATTTTTTTTTTTGTTTTTCTTCTCCAATAGTGGAAGTATTTCTGTATTATTATTAACTTCCATTCTTTAACTGTTACAAACAGAAGTACTTGTACAGATCTGTATCAGACATGTATAAAAGGTATACAAAGGCTAATCAAAAGACATAATTCCTTACACTTAACAGGTCCAAGAAACCAAAACTCAGAAAACCAATGTTCCAGAAAACTTGCTAATTTATATCTACTTAATATGAGACTAGGTCATATTCACCAATGAAATATTACTGTATGGACATAAAAGCACTGATTGTCTCTAATATAAAAAATAGTGAATATATAACACTATACAGTTTCATTATATGCTTTATTCTAAATGTTTAAAAAATATTAGCTTTTATACAATCCTGTAAGGTAAATCTTACCTCACCACTTGACAAACAAGAAAACAGATGTTCAGAAAAGCCAACTAATTTGACCAAGGATGACAGAAAAATAACAGACAGGATTCCAATTCAGACAGTCTGGCTCTAGTATCATACTTTTAACCACTATGGCATACTACCTGTTTTAACTATTATACCTAAAAGACTTTAATCCTAAATCATCGGAAGAAAGGTCCTCCATTATATATCAGGAAGAAGCACTTCTAAGAATTGAAAATTGTTCATTTTGTACAGTTTTGTGTGACAACTTACAATTTAAACTAAAATTTGTTGTATCAAAACTTTTCCCATACTAGCTTTATGAAAAAATTTGAGGTTGATTACATAAACACACAGATTAGAAGGTTGTTTCCTGAGATATAACTAATATTTTGAGTACTTTCTATTTGCCAGGCAGTGTTACAAGTATTTTATGTAAATAACTGATTTTGATTTTCATAACCTTATGAAATATGTACTATAACTACCCCAACTTTACAGATAAGGAGACTATGGTATGGGGCTATTAACTTGTCCAAGGTTAGACAGGTAGAGCTAGTTTTAGGATGCAGACCACAGTCTGATTCCAGAGCCCGTACTCAACAATTTCACCCTATTATTTGTCAAGATAAGGCATTTTTATAGGATTTACTACTTTCTCAAAAGGTTCATAATATGAATATTCAAGGACAATAATCACAACTTAGAGCATTTAAATAATTTAACTGGTTTATATAGTATTTTTCATTTTAACACTAAACGAGAAGAGCAGTGGAACATTTATTTTTAAAAATACTAGTAACTGTTCAGTTTTGCTAAAATTATATATCAAAATTATTATCAAGCTCACAAACTTCAGAAAAAACTATGATAGGCAGTTTCTGACAAAGGAAGTATTTAAGATTTAATTCTGGTCTGACCTTAGAACACATAACTGTTGATCATTCAATGGGCAAATGGAAAAGAAGCCAGAACATAAAGACATAGATTATAATGGAGAAAGGGAGAAAAATCCTTTTTAATGATACTTATATGGAATTTTAGTATGATATACAAATAGGTTAAGATAGATAATATGAAGCTGAAAGACATACCAACAATTACCATAACAAAAATAATAAGGAACATACATTCATCAGTTAGTTACACAGAGTACCATGAAACTGCACCACTGAAAGGCATTGATAATTCTCAAAGAAGAAAGCTTCACAGAGATGTTTATGGGAATGAGTCACATTACCAAAAAAAACTAAAATACAATTTGAGAAATACATAATTCACTAATTTATGAATGATGAACTTATTAATCAAGAGTTTGGTTTTTTAGTTGTCAATTTCTTTCAAAATCATGACAAATTAAAATGAGCTTCTAAAAACAGGTAGATCTCGTATCACTGAAAGTAAGCATATAATATAGCAAAATTAAATACTATAACAATTTATTATTACCTACTAAGTCAGCTACTCGTTTCTTTCATTTCATTGATCTAACTCAGTGTGAAAGGTTACCCTTGTACAAGTTTACACAGCTTAATGATTAACTGTATTTACCTGCCAACTTCACTGTTTATGTGGCAAATAGTGATATATATAGAGTTTGGAAGTCTAAGTGCACTAGAGGAGAAAACTAATTCCAAATTGCCTGAAATTGAATAATTTGGCCAAAAATGTACACAATTAAACTCTTTCTTTTTATTGCTCCTCTAGTTTTTTCTTCTAAAATTGATCAAGATTATTTAACATTTGATTCTATATCTCCAGAGCCAAAATCAAGATTTGCTATGTTAGATGATGTAAAAATTTTAGCCAATGGCCTCCTTCAGCTGGGACATGGTCTCAAAGATTTTGTCCATAAAACTAAGGGCCAAATTAATGACATATTTCAAAAACTCAACATATTTGATCAGTCTTTTTATGACTTATCACTGCAAACCAATGAAATCAAAGAAGAAGAAAAGGAACTTAGAAGAACTACATCCAAACTGCAGGTCAAAAATGAAGAAGTGAAGAATATGTCACTTGAACTCAACTCAAAACTTGAAAGACTTCTAGAAGAAAAAATTCTACTTCAACAAAAAGTGAGATATTTGGAGGAACAATTAACTAACTTAATTAAAAGTCAACCTGAAATTCAGGAACACCCAGAAGTAACTTCACTTAAAGTAAGTAGAAACCAAATAAAGTTCACAATTATGTTTTCAATGTGGATCTTTTTTAAAAAAACTTAAGACATGCTATTTGAAATACTTTGTTATATTGTTGAAATCTCTACTGCTCTCAAGGATAAAAGTATCCAGAAAAAACAATTTCCCATTATAATTTCAAACTGGTTTTTGTTTACCTTACATTACATATGAAGACAACTAAACTTTATATTCATATGAAAATTTCAAATCAATTCAGTAAAAATATATAGAACTAAAACAAATTGTACTACAAATGATTAGAGGGAAGTAAAAAGTTATATGAATATAGCCTTGAAACTATGTCCATTTTTTAAATGGTTAAGAGGAATATAGGAAATGGTAAAGATTTATTTCTATTAAAACATTGTTTATTTTATACAATTAAAGTAGTAAAAAGTCCAGAAAATCATACTTTTGAGATATTTTAAATAAAACATAAAAAGAAAAGTGTATGCTATTTGAGAAAAGCATACAAGAAAAAATGATTACCAGTATTCATTTTTCTAATCCACCATTAGTTGTTTTAAAAAGTAGATTGTGATAGTCCCAGAAATAACAAAGTCTAGTTTAATCAAAAAGAAAGAAAAAGGAGAGCAAACTTCTAACCAATCTACAATCTATATCCAGACTTTTGTACAACAGCAAGATAATAGTATCAAAGACCTTCTGCAGACTGTGGAAGAACAATACAGACAATTAAACCAACAACACAGCCAAATAAAAGAAATAGAAAATCAGGTAAGTCACTATTTTAATAATATGTCCAATCTTTTGCATGAAATTCAGGTTTATGAAAATACCGAACCCTAAAAACATTTAAAATAATTATGCCTGGACAGTGAGTAAAAAAATTTTACCAACGTGGTTGTTAAGACTGTGCACTCTGAAGCTAATAAAGTATCTGGGTTTGAATCTTGACTCTGTAACATTTGTGTGACCTTGAATAAATCACTTAACCCCTGTCTTTCAGTTTCTTTAGTTACTCTATGAAGATAACAAAAGCTATCTTACAAGATTATTGTGAGACAAAAAAGAATTCATATAAAGTATATCCTCAGTATAGCAGCCAAAGTGATTCTATTAAAATTTAAATTAGATCTTATGTCTCTTAGTTCAAAATCCCAAAATAACTTCTCATCTCACTCTTGTTGCATAAAACTCAGGATGACCTGACCCTTACTATCTCACTGATTTCATCTCCTTTACTCTAGTCATATCAGCCTCTTTACTCTTACTCAAATACATTGAACATGCTGCCATTTCCGGGCCTTTGCCCTTGTTTTTCCCTCTGTCTGGAATGATCTATGGTATATGCATTGCCTACTCTTTCATTCCCTTTAAGTCTTTATCAAATACAAAATTCTCAACAAAGCCTTTCTAGGTCACGTAATCAAAATTACAATCTTCTATTCCCAAGCTTGAAATCTATTCCCTCCTTCACTATTCCTTTTTTTTTCATTAACACATCTATTTAATTAAATATACATTTTAGTCATTTCTCTATTCTTGCACTAGAATATAACCTCAATGAACACAGGGATTTTGTTCCATCGTATTTATTACTGTAGCCCCAGAATAAAGAACAGTCTGATACACAGTTGCCATTCAATAAACATGTTGAATTAATAAAGGTAATGTCATATTCAGCATATATAACTTAATAAAAACTTAGTAAAAACTATATTTTTACTATTATTATTACAACTGAGAGCTAGATAATTAAAGTACATCAAAAAATATAATTAATCTACAATGTAAACAATTGGCTAAATGAGAATGGGAGAATCCTTTTTATAATTAAGCTATATCAGAAAAAAGCATTCCAATATATAGTACTCTAGTCCAGAAATATTAATAATATTCAAAAATCCATTCAAGAGAGTTCCAAAAAGACTCAGAGAAACTTGTAGAAAAAGTTGCAAAACCTGTATTTTATGACATAATTTTAATAGGTTATTTTTGCTTGTAGCTCATAATTTAGTAGGTTATTTTTAGTAATTGTCCAAAAGGGATTTTTGCCAGCTACTTTTGATTTCCATAATTTTCTACTTATAAAACTTTTCTAAATTATTTTTACTATAGCTTTTATTATGATGGAATAAACCTGTTCACAGTTATAAAATGTCGCCATTATAAGATTAAACACATTCTGTCTAATAATAACTGTATGAGGAATTCAAAACAATGAATTTCAGAGATAAAAGCAGTATTAGATTAGCTAATCCAACTTTCTCAAATTTATATTAAGAAAACAAAATTCTAAAAGTGACTTTAATCACAGATACTTATTACAAAGGACTAATACCCAGTAAGCAAACTTTACAACAAATTTCTATGAATTAGATCCTAGGAAATGTCATTATGCTAACACCAAAAAAACTAACACTAATGATACAAGATATTACATATTCTGCTTTTCTCAAGCATCAATAAGAAAAGTTATCAATCAATAAACTGTAAACCAGCAAATATTAAATAAACATGTTATTGCTAAACTATAAAACTTTGAACATGTTGAAAGCAAATACACCTGCTAATTTGTTACCTTTACAGATATGTCTACATGTTAAAATCATCAAGAAAGCGGTCTCTAGCAAATTATGTACTATGTTTTTTATGGCAGATCTGAAAATCAATAAGGTCTACACACACACGAGTTATTAAAGTGAAAATCTGCCTATGTTATTGGATACAGCAGCAAGATACTAACATTCTACTCATAAGAATATAAATATAATAGGCTAGGGCCTCCCCTGGTGGCGCAGCAGTTGAACACTGGGCTGCGAAGCTGCCCGCAGCCTCTGCAGCACCGGTTCGATCCCCGGCCACCAGCGAGGGTCCCACATGGCGCGACAGACCTTTCCTGCCGTAATATATATAATATATATATATATATATATATAAAATAGGCTATGAATATTTAAATTCATATATTAAAATATGCTATTAAAATATGCTCTGCTTTTGGTCTTGTTATTTTTGACAAATCTGTTTTTTGCATTGTCCTCTTTCTCTGTTTTTCTGAACTCATTAAATATGTGTGATTAAACATTTTTAGAACAGATAAAATACATAATCTATGTAGCACTGTTTATCACTGTTATTGATATATCAAAATAATTATTTTGAATTAAAAGATGCATGAAAGCTGTACTTCTCATATCCTCAGATTCTCAGATTATATATTCAATACCATTGTTAAAAGTAGATTTTTGTTCTTTTATCAGTTAAGAAAAACTGGTATTCAAGAATCCACAGAAAACTCTCTTTCTTCTAAACCAAGATCACCAAGAACTACTCCTGCTCTTCACATGAATGAAACAAATAATGTAGAACATGATGGTAAGATCATTTGGTGTGTTTCCTTCTTGAAGCTATTATCACCAAATTCTACTTCTATCTTTTATATTTCCATGAAAAATCCTTTTTCTCAGGGCCTCTTCTAGACCAAAAGAGTAAAGAGACAAATTCACCAAATATAACTTGTCAACCTAATTTGAATCCTGATGATTTTTTTAATCCTATAGAACATATTCATAAGACAAGCAGGAAAATATGAATACAGAATGGATATAGATTCACAGGCAACCTTTGAACAAGGTTTAAATTGCACATATCTACTTGGCTGTTTTTCCCAATAAATATTGTTAGCCCTGTAGCCCTGCAGCTTCTGCATTCATGAATTCAAAGAAATGTGGACATATGCTTAAAGAATTTATAGAGGTGAACACATGGATAGGGAGGGCTGACTGTAAGGGATTTGTGCATCCCTGGATGTTGGTATCCATAGGGGGAAGAGAGGATGCTAAAACAAATCATCCCCACAGATACAGAAGACAGTTATAGTTAAGTTTTTTAGCAGTTAATAGTTACACGTGAATTTTCTTCTGTTCAACACCACATCCCACCCTGGTTATTCAAGGATCAACTGTATTATTAATTTTCTTGATGTGATATTGGTATTGCAGTTATGTAAGAAAATCATGTTTAAGAGATGCATGCTCAATATCTAAGGGGTTAAAAAGTCAAATATTTGCAGAATGCATGTTTGTATATATCTGTTTCTAAACACATGACAGAGCATTAACAATTGTTGAATATAAATGGAAAGATGATGGTATTCCTTTCAATGTTCCATTCTACTTTCCTGTTTGCCTGAGAATTTTCATAAGAAAAACAAAAATATGATGGTAACAAGTACCCATTCCAACCAAATTTCAACAAAATGATATACTTTCAAAACATTTTTATAAACTTCATGCAGGAAAAAATGTGCTAGTTTCCTCCATGTATATTCATTCTTTCCACATATATCCATGGAATACACCTGTTATATACCAGCAGTATCAGTATTAATATCTCATTTGTGGTATTTTATGTATATTCTTCCTTTATCTGGTAAAACAAATGTTTAAAATTTTCATTTTACCACTCTTCTTAAAATCAGATTAGTAGTAACTATTTTTATATTCTTTGCATATCATCTAATGGAAATGTCTTAGCATAAACCGCCTTCTCAGTAATCAATTACTGAAACAGGCCAAAGCCAACATTCATGGCAATACCATAAAGTGTCAATTAAAATCTTGAGCTCTATAGATATTATTCTTAGATGTCTTATGTAATATTTTTTGATTCTAGACATTCCTGTTGATTGTACCACCATTTATAACAGAGGTGAACATACAAGTGGCATCTACTCTATTAGACCCACCAACCATCAAGTTTTTAATGTCTACTGTGATGTTAAATCAGGTAAAACTGGCTTGTGGAGAAAACGGAAGTTGGTAGCTTAGGTCACTACCAATTAACACAAATCCTGTTATCTTTGTTCTGAGTATACATAAGATGAAATACATAAATAGTTATAAGGATCTATTATTACTTATATTTGTCTTATATATGTATTTACTTACTAGTCTCTATCATTTTTCATAATAATCTGAAGTGACTACTGTCAATAAGTTTATTAAAACAAGTTAATTAAAAGTATTTTATTATATCTGTGAGCAGAAACCAATAAAAACACAAAATTTCATTCAATATATTCAGGCAGCTCATGGACATTAATTCAACACCGAACAGATGGATCCCAAAACTTCAATGAAACCTGGGAAAACTACAAATATGGTTTTGGGAAGCTTGATGGTAAGGTGATTTCACTCATTGGTTCATGCATTGATTTTAAAATGTGTAACTATTATGCACTGCATTACGAATGCAAAATTGAATGAGAAACAATCCTGGACTTCATAGAACTTACTAAACAAATAATTACACGTTTGTTAGTAATTACATTTATTACAAGTGTCTTGATTTGAATTATATTTAAAGTTCACAATTCATGTCTTAATTATACCTATCAGAATTTAACTTGATGGCTTATAACTATCATAATTAAAGACAATTTTGATTAAGTCATAACTATGCTATGTTAGTATTAAATGCCATGAGTGAACACAAAGAAAACCATCCTTTACAACTGGTCACTCTACTTTCTTATTAGCATTTAGATATCAATTATTTGGACATTGGAAGGGACAAGAAAACATGAATCACATAAAATGTTTAAGTTTCAAATATTTAAATATGATATAAAATAAAATATGTGGTTGATTGAAAGTAAGTTAGTTAACTCAATACAGATCTCAAAGTAAGATTTAAAACAGAAAATAAATAAGTAAAAATAAATAACATAGGCTTAAAATCCAAGAAGCACATTATAAAATTCATGAATGATATAAAAGTACTTATTTATAAAGTAGAAAATAACCACTATTATACTAAATCTGTAAATATTTCAGTATACTAGAGTATTTACAAGATTTTGCATTCAAATTACCAATTAAATCCCTAACTAGAAGGTATTTTCAGAAATATATTTTGTAGCCCCAAATTTTCTTCTAAAAGTGACTATAAACCAAAAGTAAGAGACTGACAGGTAAGTCTAAAGTATTCATTTATTTCTATAAGAAAGCAAATTATTTGAACTTGTAATCCTTAAAATGAAGTCTCCTACTAATTCAATACCATAAGAAAAAAAATCTATCTTTTCCCTTAAATAAAAAGTATGACAATTAAAGAGAAATTTACTTGTATTTGTTATTTATAATTATAATCAAAAATTGTATTTTAAATAAAAATAAATTTTTAGGGAAAAATAAAGAATTATAATTTTTAATTTAAAATGTTACTCCCTCCTTTATCTACAAATATCTATATCAAGCAATTCAAAGATCAAGTTTATATTCAACAAAAATAATATTATTGTTATTATCCAAGTCTCTGGAAATACTTAACAGATCTCTTGATCATATATTGTTATTAATAAACAGTGGATATTGAATCTTGGGCAAGAAGCTAGGACTGAGATAATATTCTACCGATGACCAAACCAAAATATTTCTATAATATTCTACTATGTTTTTCAAGTGAATTTGCCTCATAACATCCATTTTAGAAAGGATAAACAGATTTTAGGCAGGTCTAATATTTTATACACGTGTGTGTATATCTACATATAACTATACTTTTAACAGGAAATTTTTTAAGAAACTCTAAAGTAGCCAAGGGATTTGAGACTGAACAAATCATTTACTTAAACTACTCTAATAAAACATGTCAGTATATAATGTGCAGTTAACAATCTACATATCTTTACAACTTTTGTTCTCAGGAGAATTTTGGTTGGGCCTGGAGAAGATATACTCCATTGTGAAGCAATCTAATTACATTTTACGAGTTGAGCTAGAAGACTGGAAAGACAACACATATTATATTGAATATTCTTTTCACTTGGGAAATCAAGAAACCAATTATAGACTACACCTTGTTGAGATTACTGGAAATATCCCCAATGTGCTTCCACAGCACAAAGACTTGGAATTTTCTACTTGGGATCACAAAGCGAAAGGACACATGAACTGTACAGAAAGTTATTCAGGTATCCTTTTCTAACATCAATATTTATGTTCATGTCTTCAAAATATCTTCCTGATGTATTAGCTTATATCTACAATATCAACTCTTTAAAATTTGTTTTATAATATTAGAGTTTTTCTTTTTTTTTTTTTTTAAAGACTTATTTTAATTTATTTATACAAGCACTGGGTACAGTCAGAAGCGCAGGGGTGTGTGTGTGTGGGGGGGGGGTGGTGTGTGTATGTGTGAATTCGCCAGAGCCACAGCAGGGAACAGAGCAGGCAGAAGGACCGAACTACACTGCTGATGGCCGGGGAGCAGCCGGGAATGAATCGGTGCTCCAGAGGCCGTGGGCAGCTTCGCAACCCAGTGCTCAACCGATGCGCCACCGGGGAGGCCCAACTCTTTAAAATTTGACTCCCTACAAACATCTTCTCTGTAGGTAAAAATTTCTTAACATAAGTGTTAAATTTGATTCTAGTCCTAGTAAGTATTTTTTACCTCTTGTCTCCCTCAGATATTTTATTTTAAATGCTGTGCATGAGACTTATATAGAGTTTTTAAAATTGGGACATATGCATCTACAGTATTGTTATACTGATAAGATATAAAGATAGACTCATGGGGGGCCTCCCCGGTGGCGCAGCGGTTGAGTGCTGGGTTGCGAGGCTGCCTGCGGCCTCTGCGGTGCCGGTTCGATCCCCGGCTGCTCCCCGGCCACCAGAGGAGGGTCCCGCATGGCGCGCAGATTTCTCCTGCCGCCCGCTGCTCCCCTCAGCAGTGTGCTTCGGTCCTTCTGCCTGCTCTGCTCCCCGCTCTGGTAAATTCTCTCACCCTCCCGCGCTTCTGACTGTACCCAGTGCATGTACAAACAAAAACAAAAACAAACAAGCAAATAAATAAATAAAACATGCCTCTATAAAAAAAAAAAAAAATAGACTCATGGGGAAATACACTAACAGTAACTGCATATGAGTTTGTATCCATTAAATTGCGTATCTATCATTTTTAGGAGGCTGGTGGTGGCATGATGTATGTGGCGAAAACAACCTAAATGGTAAATATAACAAAATGAGAGCAAAATCTAAACCAGAGAAGAGAAGAGGAATATGGTGGAAGTCTCAAAATGGAAAGATATACTCTATCAAATCAACCAAATTGTTGATACATCCAACAGATTCAGAAAGCTTTAAGTGAACTGAGGCAAATTAAAAGGCCAATAAATTAAACATTAAACTCATCCCAAGTTGCTGTGGTTTAATAATCTGATACTAAATCACTGTAGAAGACTTCAGAAATAGATTATTTTAAAACTCAATTTAAGATTAAACATACTGTCACAGTTTGTGACATTAAACATACTGTCACATCATCTCAAAGAACATTTACCATTCTCAATCAAAATTCTTACATCATTTATTCATATATTTTCTGATGTGGGAATGAATTTTAGATGGTCACAATCTAAATTTTAACCAATGGGTGAATTTTAAAATAAAAAATGTAGAGAGACATATTTTAAGTCATTATGTGGGCTAATTTCACAACTTCCCCAATTTAAGGAAGTAGCTGTCTTGCTAAAATTTTAAAGCCAAAAAAAAGAGAAAAGACTGATAATTGCACAGTTCTTAAATATTCTAACTATAAATTTCAAAAATAAAATTAGGTCAGTTCAGAGTATATGTGACAATCTTTAGTATGAGTTTTAAAACCAATGCTTCATTTTGTTATGAAATAATCTGGAGTAAATATCTGGTAAACATGATAAAGACAAAGCAGGAAGAAATATTGTGCTGATAGAGATTCTGTCTAAAATACAGTAGACCATGATTATTATTGACTTTAAGATTAGGTATCACTGTACCCTTATATATTCGTTATCTTATATCCTATACATTTTATATACTATGAAAACATAATTTTATGTTTTCACTACTATGAAAACATAATTTTAAAGGGATCTTGCCAGAATACAATAAAAATGAATGTATTTGCAGAATCAAGTTAAAGTTTAATAATAATCTATTCCCTAAGATATGGTATGAGTCAAATACTTATATATAGGTTTTCAATAGAATTAAAAATCATAACAAATTGTTGAATGTTCGAATAGCCAGGGAGAGGTGTACATGTTTCCAAATTCAATAAGACTAAATGCTTTATATAACAGAAATTTACATTTTTTGTTTTGACTAATATTATAATGGAATTTTAGGTTATTTCCAATTTAAAAACTATTTGAATTCCAAATCCTCCAGGATAATTGAATGGAAATCCTTTGACCATAATATCACTTATATTTATTTTAAAATAAGTTTTTAAAGAGACTACTAAAGAAAAATTAAATTTAAATTAAATTCAGTTTTTAAAGGTAAAACACCTAAATTAAATATTGAGTCACCTATGGCAATGTTATTCATTCAGTTCTCTATATTTTAAATTATGCAAATACATGTCATATACCTTTTGTGTATGACATACAGAAACACATATGATCTATGTGGATCTTACATAGAAGTTTTGTTTCAAAGAAATATAAAGGCAAGAGTATGTTTTAGTTTTTGAACCATAGCTAAGTTGTCAAAATTAACATTTTTAAGCTAGAATACCAAAATGACTTTTTCTCAAAAAAAATTGGAAGCTCCAAACATAAAATAATTCTTTGCTTAATATACTAATTGATTCATCTATTTTCCAATTATTGATCATTCCCACATGGCTCATTTTGAACCATTAAAGAGTACTAGGTTTTTTATCCACACAAAAAGCTCACTGAGATAAAATTCTGGGAAAGGATTATTTCTCTTTATAATTCACAAAACTGTGTCCCTCTGTCCTCACTTTATCTAATTTCATCACTAACTCACAATTAATCTAATGGCCTTTTTGTCAGTCCATATTCCCTTTGATCTCTAATATTTACTAGTGACAATATTCTTTCTTCAAACTTGACCTTCATTTTGCCTCCACAATACTACGACACTCTCCAAGGATTATCCCTAATATGAAAATATCTTTATAGCCCAATTCACTCCCAGTATTTATTATTGTGACCCATGTACAATCTTCAATCCTTCCATCAGTTCTCCTACTCTGAAAATCTATCCACTCATCTATTTTCCAAGAATGAAGTTCCAGAACTCCATGTTAATCCCAGATCGTTTTCAGTTCCCCTTCTTACTCTGCCTATCTGCCATCTCTCCTTCCAATACCCTTGTCTCCTCAAACTCACATACCAAATAACAAATTCATTAACACCTTACTGCCTTTGCTGATCTTTCCTTCCTTTCCACAATTTCACACTATTCCTTTCCTCTTTTTACTCATCATTAATGGCTCTACCACACATCTAGTCATAGAAGTCTGAACCCCAGTAGACAACATGGGGCTTTTTTAAATACATATTTATTAGGGTTTCTTAACTTTGTAAGCCATTTCTTCTGTATCATAAACTACTAAATCCAATATAATTTTTTAAAAAGACTCATAATCTGATATGCTTTCTTCCCATTTCTGCTGCCAAAAACCTGCCAAAGACTGCCTTTAATCTGGAGTGTCCTAAATAATCTAAACAGTCTACTTACTGCCTGTTCCTATTAATTTTCTGTCTATCTTCCCTCAACTGTCCTAAAAGAAATTTACAATTGGCTGCATACTACTTTAAACTGTATCATTCAAACTTGCCCACAGAAAGGCTACAATTACTAAGTATAATGACAATATATTTTTACAGGTTCTACAGTTAAAAGACTGAAATGGCTTGCTATAGCATAATTTTCTTGTGGAATCATATTAGAATTTTATCTTTAATCTTAGAATTATCCTTTAATCTTCTACAAGATAATGTTCCTAGAAAACATGTCAAGATTTTCTTTATGAGCTTCTATATCCCATGTAACTGCGTACTCATAAGAACATGCACCCCAATTAGAAAGGCTTATGCTTATCTATTACTAACAACTGCAAGCACTGCACTTATGTATGTACTATTAAGTGATCATAAAACACAACAGTTTTGAAAATTGAAAAGAAAATGACAAACAGTTGGTCCTTTTATTAAAGTCCAAAGTATTGTCACAGCAAATTAACTAGGCAAAATTACTCAATTGGTGTGAAATGTCCAGTTCAAGGTCATGTAAGCAGGACTAATAACTTTCACATTTGAGCTTCAAAAATGTGGTTTCAGTGATAACTTAGTAAATTAAAATATAAACAAGATTCCATCTAAAAATATAAAAGCTGCTTTCTAAATTTATATATTTAACCCTAGTAACAATCATAAATCCAATAAAATCATTAGGAATATTTGAAAGAGCAATCACCTACAAACTTAAAAGATGGGAAGCTCTAATGTTTATCTTCAAATAAGCAACTAAGCCTCAGTTACCACACCCAATATATGGGAATAATAATAACCTTGCCAAATCTACTTTATGGTGTTGTAAGTATAGAGGATGAAGTATATTTGAGTAGTTTTATAACTGTAAAGTTCTAAACAAATGCACATACACGTAAAAAACTGGATCTTCAGTATCACTAGCAGATAAATAATCTGTACAAATATCTCCTAACTGAAAATACTCCATATCTCATGAAGGAAAACAAAACTGCTCTCCTCACATTCTGCTACTATTTCTGGAACTTAATTTCTTTCTTCCGACTATGAGATAATAATACCCCATTACCTTCAAAGGCAAATATCTAACTAAAATCTTCTGGGTGCCTATATTAAATGTTAAATATTAAAATGTTAGGAAACAAGCTCTCAACTTAAGAATTTTGTAATTAAAATAAACAAGAACCAATTAAACAGAATAAAAGCCAGAGTGACATATCCAGGGCAAAACAAAGATAACAGAACATACAGCAATAGCTTAAGACATTTATGAAAATTCAAAATAAGTGCAAAGTCCAATATTCTCTAAAATAGGGACCATCAACTTGAATGGGAAAAAAATACTTCTCAATTTTTATTGAAATTCTCATTTTCTTAAATTTTGAATATAGGTAACTAACCATAGCAGTATTAGCAATACATAAAATTTTTAATAGAAATCATACATATTTTTATATATAACAACTATTGCAGATATCTCAAAGTATTATTCATGCTTACTACTATTTAGAAAATATGGCAGACTTTAGACCTAAGGCAAGATCTTATTTAATTCATGAATAAACACATATACATCAACTTTAACATTTTGATCATTGTAATTTAATGTAATTGATTTCCTTTGTTATCTTATATATTTCATGCATTTAAAGACATTATTCAAAAAAAGAGAATGATAGGATTTACAAAACTGCCAAAGGGTACCATGCAAAAAAATACATCAAGAATCCCAACTCCAAATGGAGACCTACTACTATGTAATAACTAAGCTTGAGAAATACAAATTAGATGGCTTTGTGTCATAAATAGCACACATTTACTTTGACTGCCAAGCTGTTTCTAGAAACAAATTTTTAGGGAAAAATTCAATCAATACACACTGAGTTTATTAAACTTCAAGAGAAAACGGAAACGGTAAAATAATAAAACAATCATAAAACCTCTCATAAATTACTGTGGGTAAATTTTTTAAGTCCTTCTTTCTTAGAAATACATACTGAAGAAATGACAGGCTCAAAAATCAGAAAAATAATAGGGAAGAGAAAAGAAGAAACAAGAATGAAAATATAGATTAACTGTACTGTTCTATTTACTTCTACTTATGTTTACAATTTTCCATTATAAAAAGTTTTAAAATATATTCAGATTAATTCATAATAACAAGTTTCCTAAGGATTATTAAGAAGGGAATGGGCATATTCCTAACTACTAATTAAGACCCAAATCAAAATGAACTACATTCTTTCATTTTGTTTCTCATACAGATTGTTCCCAGGTCTGAACACTGCGTTCACTTTTTTACATTCTTAGTAACACAACATTTGCTAGAAATAGCCTGTTAAAAAACTGGAGAAAAACAAATGAAAGTTCAATAGGTGATTACAAATAAAGCTACTGCTGGGAAAAAGACTAACTCTAATAACAATAACAATCTTGCCAAGAAGGGCATGTGCTCTATGACGTATAAAAACATAAAAACTGATGCCAATAAAACACATAAGCATTTGCTCAATTAGAAGTACCTTGATCTTTATAATTCAAAGCCAACAGTGGTGGTCAAATACAAATTTGGAACTTGAGTAAACTTACACACCATCTACTACTTAACTTTCAGATGATTTTAGGCAG